GGGACTTTTAACAAGCAGAAGAGTAGAGGGGTCAGAAACTTTCAAAATACTTGAAGCGAGAATAATGATCAAGAGAAGCCCCAGAACTCACCAAACGCTGCGCATTCACGATCTGGATCAGGAATGTTTGATGATTCACCCTGTTCTGTTCGCACCTCTTTCATTATTTCGCTCAGTTCTTCAAAAGACAAGATACTAAAAGCAAAAATGAAAGCAAACAATAGTAGCGATGCATAACAAAAACAATTACGTTGGTTCTTTGTTGCCCATCTTTTCAGAAAAAATGCGGGTAGCCTTTGATTCAGAAGCTCGTTTCCGGTTTCTGCCACTGCGATTTCGGAACGCGATTCGTTTGAAAAACTAAAACAGTGACTTCACCTCATACAGATAAAGCATAAGAAAAAACAATCATACAAGGCTCGCAACTCCTCGTCCTCATCCAGTAGCACCCCATTCTCGTGTAGTTTCTTCTCTATAGAGACAAGGCACGTTTTCAGCTAAATATCTACTTTATTATAAGTTTTCGGAATTGCCGTTCAGAAATCGGAAGATATCACAGAGCAAAAACTAACATTATTCTCCAGATTGATGAAACGCTGCTCCTTTCTCCAATCCTCCATCATTCAGCGACACTTCGCGTTGCTCCAGCTCTTCCAGTCGTTTAATTAGACTCTAAAATCACGAGAGCTCTTTCGGGCCTACAACTTGACGCAACGAAGAACGCTGCCTCTTCTCGAATTGCCTCAGAAACACTGCACTGTCGCAAAACCCATGAGAATCTATATGCAGAGGTAGCTATAGTAAACAAAACGACAAAATCACAGTTCTTATCAATCGGGCGCAAGGGTGCTTTTCAACTACTCATGACTGATATGTTGACTATCGAGAAAGGCAGCGCATACCTTTGAAGGAAAGTTCCTGCCACAGAAGAAAAGTACCGCGCTTCAGACCGCGACGGTCAACGGTCAGTGCTTTTTTCAAGGCTATTTTACAGCGCCTGAAAAGCTTCGTGAGTGTTCTCAAAAGCATTCTGAAGATGCATGTTCTAATTAAAGGTTCCGAAAACCCCATGAAGTTATCACTGATTACAAGAGGGAAGGCTTGATTGGTCCGAAGAGGCTGAACACTGCAAAGTGAAGACAATAAATTCGCTACTGCCCTAGCCGCCATATCGCTATTTTTCATCAGACCTGCTTCCCTTCCCATTAACCGACGTCAATAGCGGCCGACGGAACAAGCATGAGCCGATCGCTCCATCGCTTGTCCGTCGCTTGCCAATCGCTCTTGGTCGAGCGATTGGCAAGCGATTGCGCAATCGCTTGCAAAGTGCACAAGCGACGGGCAATGGCTCTGCTCGATCGATACCGCAGCCGACTGCATTGACTGGGGGCGGGGCCAATCGCCCGTCGCTTGTGCACATTGCGCAATCGCTTGCCAATCGCTCGACCGAGATCGAGCGATTGGCAAGCGACCGCCCAGCGATGGCGTTCGTCGCGACTGACGGCGGTCTTACCTCCGGTCATGGTAAACCTTGTTCTGAGCCCTAGCTTTGTGGTCTTACCCCAACAGACGAGTATAAGGAATGATGCAACTACATGAAAATAAAAATTTATGTCAATAATTAAGAACTCACCTTACGCTTTTCTATTAATTTCCATATCTTTGTTTCAGACAAAGGTTTTTTCTTGGAAGACGGCCCATCGCCTGCTGTGGATGGATCCTCCATGAACACAGTTTCTTCTCGAGCTTGGCAGGATCAACTAAAATTAATACCTAAATAACTATGTGATGAACTATAAAAAAGCTGAACTTCATGAGTGACAGGCCCGCTGTACTACACTCATCATGTACCATACCTGTCGTACAACAGAGCAAGTTAATAACAATTCAGAATCAGCCTAGTTCGATGATGAGCGATAAACATTGACAGAGAAAGGAAGAATTGTAGAAAAGGATATTGCTACCAGGTTCTATCGGCAGAAATGAAGATAATAGAAATCAAGTCGGTGAAATACCTCAGATTTGTACTCATTTTGCCACATCAAAGTTACGGTCATGCTTTGCGAATGTTCGCCTGCGCTCTCACGATGAGGACTGCGCGTCACTATATTTTGAAACGGCCGCGCGACGGCGTGGTAGCGGCCTCTACGACTGAGCGCCTAGGACAGGGAAAAGGAATTGTTCACGCACTTTGAAGTATCTCCCCCCCCCCCCTCAAGGATAGGTCCTGAGGGAGAATACTTCAAAGTGACAGCGCAGATGACGCAGGATTAAAGCAACGACCACAGATGAGGCGTTGCCGAACAAGCTATTCTGTGGGTAGGATGGAGTGGCCGATGTCAGACTTTGCGATTGGAGCGATTTTGCACCAATTGCAGGAGCGACGGATCGCTTGAGCGATGCGAGCGACGGGAGATTTACGAACTGATGGCGCCGAATTATCGGTGGTCGGCGGTGTAAATCTCCCGTCGCTCGCATCGCTCAAGCGATCCGTCGCTCCTGCAATTGGTGCAAAATCGCTCCAATCGCAAAGTCTGACATCGGCCACTGCTCGCGAGCAGCCACCAGGCTATTTTAGTGAGCTCGCAGGTTGCCCGCATACGCGCTAGGGCCTTGTAAAGTAGGTTAACACGTTGACGACGTTTTGTGCTTTTGCACCGCGTTGGACAAAAGCGATTTTGCGAGCGCAACCGCCGCACACCAAATCCATGGATTTTAAGTTGTAAATACGCATTACTTAGATGCGATGTGATGTTCGATCTGCTTATCAAGGAGTTACAGTATGGAAATTTGACCGAGATGACGTGTTAAGGCCATGAAAAGGAAAATTAATTTCCCTTTTAGTCGGTTTCAATATTGGACGTGGCTTGGGCAGTAAAAACCTCATATCTTCCATACACAGTGTTAGCGTCGAAGAGAAAAGTATGACCTATAGAATGAGTACAAAGACCTTAGGAATAAGTCGCACAAGCGCAAGAAAAGGGATGACTTGGGTGGGACGCGTTACCGCGTCACAATGTCCCACGAGGTGCGCAAAGTGAGGACGCGTTACCGCGTCACGCTGCAGCTAATGAACGAGATACCTCGCGCATACCCCAACATGCATAACGCGAATTTCGACATGGGCATGTAGATACCGAGAGGCAGCATGAAATAGGGCTATCCTCTCCTTCGCACTGATTGCGGGGTGCCGTTTGAAAAATTCGTCTAAAGGCCGTTCCTTCCACGCGTCATGTCAGTCGCTGTTACCCCACCAATTCCATTTGGAGTTTTTGTTTTGAAAAAAGCGTTTGAGTTGGCTTCCGAGTAGAGTTGCATACTACGCGTTATCAACCCTGAGATAAGAGCTACGAGCGCAACCCCATAAGAGATATGGGGGTCTCATCCAGTAAGGGGGGGGCATCAAGTGGCTGCCCTCACCCCTCCCCCACCCCCCTAGACTGCAGCTGCTCCCCCTGGTGCGCACAGTTTCTCGAAGTACGGGACCCTGTGAGCCAGGGGGAGTGAAGGCAGTCTAGGGGTGGGGGTGAGGGCAGCCACTTGACGTTGCATCACAATGCCCCCCCCCCCCCTTACTGGATGAGACCCGAGATACGATATGAAGAAGATACGGCTGCTAGGATTGAATGCACTCCAGAATGAAAATCCGGTGATGAAGATGACGATACCACGTCAAGTACGTTACCACTGCAGCCACGTCAGAGACGTACGTGGTGCTGCGTACCAGGAATGGGTTCTGCTTTATCACGCTGCTGGCGCCTCTCCACCCCTGAAGTGTCTACTATCGGCTCATTGGGTAGGAGACCTGGGAGATAAATCCAATATGTAGGTTTCCCATTCATTCCCATAGTATTTATCACGGTCTCTTCCTCTCCTTTCCTTACCCACCTGATCTGCCTCCATTGCCAACTATCTCGCGGATTCCTCCCTCTGAGCTAAACATCCTGATTATGCCGCGACGACTTCCCTCCCTCGGTTACAAGGCTTCTTCAACCAAGGGGTAAGAGCGTAGTGGGAAACACACACTTTGCTATCCATTGGACTGTGATAGTGTGCACGTGTGAGCGCTTCCAGACGTCACTACAAAACGTCGAACAGATAAGCCTCGCGGTTGACAGATGTCCTGAGACCCCCCTCCCCCCTCAACTAAATTAGCACCTCGTCTGGATGTTCTAACCCCACAACCCCAACGAGGGGGAACACCATGACCGAAAGATGCTGGCTTAAAGCTTGAACCTAGGTATGTGGTATACGGATGAGTCGCCTCAATCACTTGGAACACCCGCTCTTCCCACCCCCCCCCCCCCCCAATAGAGAAGAGAGGTGGTACGTTACACCTGGGCCGTATGCTATGCTTTCGGGGAAGGGGAAGAGTTCTGCTTCGGGGAAAATCCCCGAAGCAGACGTCCCCGAAGCAGGGCGTATGCTATGCTCCCGAAATTCATTCGGGGAGAGAAGACGCAGAGCTTATAGAGCGCGAAATTCGAATGACCTTAAAGCCACGCATACAATTGCGTTTAACAAGTGAATACCTGTTAGCTGCGTTCAGTTTTATTATTCGATCGAGACACAATAAGGGATACTATGTGAGGATAAATCCATATTATTTATGAATACAAATTTTGTGGAGAGGTATCGTGGTACAACAGTTCTCCCCTACCGCAGTAATCACATTTCTACAGACGGAGGGAGCTCGAGGGTGGGTACTTGTGCAAGCGGGGAAATGAATGAGCACGGAAATGAGAATATTGTCATGGTTCCGAATACTTTAGGTGCACTGCGCCGACCCTTCTTTATACTATGTTCTACTCACAATATGACTGATCGTTTTTTTTCTGAAGGTTATTTCTTCTTTAAATCCATTTCAGTGCTTTATTCTATCGTTTGATAATACCAAGAACGTGTTTTTCCCGATTATGAACTGCAATTTTATCAATTTCCCTACCGCTCGCTTTGTGACCCTAATTTCTAGTACGCCCATGAACGTAAGGATCAGAAGAGGAGCTGTATAACTGTAATACTCAATTGACAGCAGATATTCCAACAACACAGTACTCTACTTACAAAATCAGTAAATAAATGCAATCTCTATCCTATCTAAACATGATGCGTAGTGAACAGGTGCGCATGAATTTGTATATTGCACAAGACGCATGCACCTTTTTTTCAGCGCAGGATCCTAGTTTGTTGGAGTGGAACATGGTTCTTGATTTTTACAGAATTTTCCCTCTATCCATAGCGCTGAACCACAAGTATTAGTATAGCATACATTATACGAAGGCCTAACATAGAATCACAATGAATTACACCCATTTTCGACCACCAAAAAAAACTTCATTATCCTGGCCCATGACGGAAACCAACGAGACGCGCACCGCGTGTCTTGCCAGGACAATTAATCCTGCGTCTTACGCTTCAATGAAGCGCAGCTTCAGGATAATATGTAATTCCCATAAGAAAATAATGTGCTCCAGCGAAAATAGTGCGCGCCGCGGCGACTACTCTAGCCTTCGGGGATGCTTCCCCCAACGATAATGGTAGGGGGACGCGTCCCCGAAGCTCGGTGGGCGTGGCCTCTCCCCGAATGAGCTTCGGGGACGGATAGCATACGACTTAGGGG